AAGGAAGGGCTAAGTTCGGGTGTCACCGAACATTTTATACTCTCGCATGATAAAGTGATAAACGAGATTTCAGGCGTGGTTGTGAACCGATTTCATATTTGGTACATGTCATCAGGGTGTTAAGAAAATATTATGTACCGAATTTCATTGAAATCGGTCGAGTACTTCCTGAGATATTCTTGGTCCATAAGTGTGCGACGCCACGCCCATTTTCAATTTAAAAAAAAGCCTGGATGYAGCTTCCTTCTAACATTTCTTCCGTAAAATTTAGTGTTTCTGACGTTTTATGTTAGTCGGCTAACGCACTTTTAGTGATTTTCAACATAACCTTTGTATGGAAGGTGGGCGTGGTTATTATCCGATTTCTTCCATTTTTGAACTGTATATAGAAGTGCCCAAAGGAAACGACTTTATACAGTTTGGTTGACATAGCTATAGTAGTTTTCGAGATATGTACAAAAAAGTTAGTAGGGGCGGGGCCACGCCCACTTTTCCAAAAAAATTATGTCAAAATATGCCCCTCCCTAATGCGATCCTTTGTGCCAAATTTCATTTTAGTATCTTTATTTATGGCTTAGTTATGACACTTTATAGGTTTTCGGTTTCCGCCATTTTGTGGGCGTGGCAGTGGCCGATTTTGCACATCTTCGAACTTAACCTTCCAAGAAAGCCAAGAAATACGTGTACCAAGTTTCATCATGATATCTCAATTTTTACTCAAGTTACAGCTTGCACGGACGGACGGACCGACGGACAGACGGACAGACAGACATCCGAATTTCAACTCTACTCGTCACCCTGATCACTTTGGTATATATAACCCTATATCTGACTTTTTTAGTTTTAGGACTTACAAACAACCGTTATGTCAAAAAAACTATAATACTCTCTTTAGCAACTTTGTTGCGAGAGTATAAAAATGCATCTCAAGCCGCCAATAAAATTTGTGCAGTTTATGGACCCGATACAGTTTCCATTTCCACCACACAACGTTTCAACGTTTTCGTTCTGGTATAGAGGTGGTCGAAGATGCGCCACGCTCCGGAAAGCCTRTTGTCGAAAATTGCGATAAAATCGCTGAATTGGAAGGTTCTTCTGTGTGTTTGGTGAGATTGGCAGGGAATAATCCACTATGAGCTGCTCCCYTATGGCCAAAYGCTCAATTCGGACCTGTACCGCCAACAACTGGACCGCTTGAAGGCAGCACTCATGCAGAAGAGGAGAGAGGTCTTTTATCAACAGAGGCCGAATTGTCTTCCATCAGGGCAACGCCAGGCCACACACATTTTTAGTGACGCGCCAGAAACTCCGGGAGCTCGGATGGGAGGTTCTTTTGCATCCACCGTATAGTCCCGATCTCGCACCAAGTGATTACTACCTGTTTCTGTTCATGGCGAACGCGCTTAGTAGTCTGAAGTTGGCCACAAGAGTCATGTGAAAATTGGMTCTCCGAGTTTTTTGCCAATAGGGAAGCGAGCTTCTATGAGAGGGGCATTATGAAGTTGGCATCTCGTTGAGAACGCGTCATGGAACAAAACGGCGCATATTTGACTTGAATCACATTATTGTAACCAATTTTATGAACAATTGAAAATTCAATAAAAAAACACCGCAAGACTTTTTTGACAACCTATTATAATGMAGTGCATTGCATGTGTGTTATATGTTAACTAATCAAACTTTTGGTGATCGCCAACATCAACAAACGGTGACCGTTGCACCGAAACTAGAATACCCTGCACAAAAAACGTTCTATACAAGACATACATAGATTTYGTTCGGTAGCCATACTTTGTTGAACATTTTTTCAGATCTTAGTTCATTGCCTTGAATAATAATTTTTGCCAAATTTCGGGACGATACCTTGTCAAATATAAAAGTTTTTCATACAACAACTTCATTCTGATTTTTCAGGTTATATGGTAGCTAAATGCTGTAGCGGTTTATATCGACGGTTCCAACAAATAAGCAGCACCTTGGGGAGAAAAAGGCAKGTGCAAAATTTCAGATCGATATAACAAAAACTGATAACAGACGGACATRACTAAATCGACACAGCTCAACACGCTGATCATCTATATTATATATGTACATATATACAGTATAAYGTTCCCGACGTTTCTTTCTGGATGTTACAAACTTCATGGCAAACTTAACATAACCTATTCAGGGTATAAAAACATATATGCAAGCCCAACATAAGAACTGTAATATAAGGGGTTTTTGTCATAAGATTTTTCAAACCATTCATTAACCAATTTTCATGAACAATAACTTCTYCCTGCCTTTCTAACGATTGGTGTTGAAACACAACTTTCTACATCTCATATAAAGAACCCAACCCTTGGTGAACCATGAATAATATTATATTTTTAAAATAAATGGTTAATTATTTAGCGCAGGCAAAGACATTAAACTAAATAAATGACGTACACATATACAAACATATTTATGAGTGAATGTTTATACCGCAAGAGCTAACGGAAAACAATAAATTCGATTGAGGTCCCAGCAACAAACAGTGACCCCACTTGAATTCTCTAGTGCATCATATGTTAAAGACAATTTAGGCAACTTTGTCGATATATTAACAAAGAAACCAGCGCTCTTATTCGTAATGCCGAAGATGTCGGCCTTTTCTGTTACACTGCTTAATTTAAATTTCTAAACTGTTCAAACACTTTATAATTTTTTACACCCTTTTGCCTAAGATATTCGCATTCCCTCAACTTTTTCACCAAAAAATTCTTTGCCACAATCTTCAAGAAAAATGCATAAACAACACTCGGCTATGTGTTTTTCCCAAAAACCGCGGCTAATTTGCAAGTATACAGCATGTATGTTTGTGCGCCACTTTATACATTCCACTAATGTACTTACCCGACTGATCTTCGCCCGTGACGAGCTCTTGTCCTTCATCTCGAATTCACTGTCACTATCCACTGGGTTGGTGCCAAGAGCGACGTCTTCCACCTCGGAACGTTGCAGTTTGCGGTACTTGCGCATGTCGTGCTTGCTCGGATTGTAGTCCCGCTTGGGATCGTAACCGGGGATACCCAACTCCGCGGCGTCATCGTTGAACTCACCAGAACTGAATTCTCCTTCTTCGTCTTCGTCCGAATATTCAGCAACGCGATCTGCACGATAATTATGGTTATGTACGTATGGTTTACTTGTGGCAATTTGTGGATTGGGATTTGGATTGGCATTTTGGCTATGATTGTTATTATTGCTATTCTTAAGGTTATGAGCTATGTTCATAAACTTTCGCAATGTTCGTCTTTTGTTTGTGGCTTGAACATTGTTTGTGTTGCTATTTTCATTATTGTTGTCGTTATTTTGGATGCGTAGATTCGGCATTGTATGACAACAAAACGCTACTGATAGTAAGGAACTTTAACGGTTGAGACACGCCCAGATTGAGCTCTTTATAGATAATTTGCGGAGCTGATAAGACTGTTTACATCACTTGACTTTAAGTTTCGAGATCTTAGCGATTTTTGAATAGCGCACCTTTGGTAAAATTGTTTTCTTTTATTGAAATATGTATATTGTATTTGGTTAGATTGCTCGTGAGTGGGTACTCGTGCAGTCTTGACTGCCTACAAGGCGATAAGACACGACAAAATCTAACGAGATCACAATTAAATGCGCATATAATTTACTGTTTGATCACTCAGGTTAAAATTGTTTTCTGTTAGTATTTAAACCCATTTCACTTTTTGGCCCGGAACATGCTACAAAAACAGCGCGACTGTTGTCAAGGTTTTCGTCAAAATACGCGCGTACGCGAACGCGTTCACTGGCTTGCTTTAGCGTTTACTGGTACACGAGCCGCTTGTGCCGCGCCAACGAGGTATCTCTTGTGTAGTCGAATTCCTACTGTTCGCTAGCACTGGGCCGCGCGAGCAATCAACAATCAGTCATTCATTCGGCCGGGCTAACTCTCGCACTCAAGCATTTCTAGCCAATGCGACTTAGTGCGTGTAAAAGTTCAGCGAGTGAGTAATCGCCCATACGAGGCGTGCAATACGAGTRCTCAAAAACAAAAAATGAATATAAGTCGTATTTTTATCACCTTTRAATGCATCAGACATTTACAAATATGTGGATAAATGAGCGGGTGTATGTGCCTCGCACGGAAATGTGCTGCTTAAAAACATTACTACTACTATGAGGGTATAATTTGCGTTTATCACACTACTAGTGTAACTAGAGCCCTAAAGTCGTTACTAATGGAGCTGTAAACTTAACAGATATCAGCGTTAGGCTAGTAAAAGAGATAGCTTGTAAACGAGGAAGCCATTGAAAGTCCTCAAATAGTTTCAAGGATACGTCAGTCACATTTAGGGGGCGATACTTCTTGCAGATAATCTTTCAAATATATCAGAACTGTGTATTTGTTGCCATGATACCGAAAATCATTACAAATTCTTCCGAACATCAGACCAATAACATCAGCTTAAAGGCATCCTTTGCAAATTGTTGTGGGTTTGTATTCCGCTCTGACAGCTACGAGATTGCACAACAACACTGACAGTATTTATTATATCAATGCTTTCCGAAACGGCATTTGAAAAGTTTCACGCACGAGTACACCCTTCATGAAAGAACCAGAAGAGACAAGCAAATATTACTTGGTATTTGCCCCCCTCTGGACACGTCGACAGCAATTATTAATGCGCCATGAAATCCCCTGCACCGCGGCTTCTTATCTGTCAAAATTTGGGTAGCATAGGTTGTTGGGTGGGCGCTACAAGTATTAAGCGCACAATACACGGTCAGGTATGTGCGTGAAGTCACTGAGCACTTGTTGACAGCTCTTTAGGTGCGGCAAAGGCGGAGGCCGACACACGATTATTTTTCTACGAGCTCAGAGCAGAACGAGAATGTGGAGTATTTCTCGTCACTTATGTACTTTTGCTGCTCGGCAACACAACTTGTGGTGTTACACTGTGTTTAACATGCTCAATTGCTGTCGTGAGCAGAATGCCGCAATTGTATTAATATTTTTGTTTACTACACATTGATATCAAAATAGAACAAACCGCACGCGCAACAAATTACTTACATATTTTTGTTTTTGTACCAGCGTAGAGTGTYGGCGTTACACGAAACTTGTCTGCATTTACAATTTTTCTACATCCCTTGAAAGGGTCAATTTTTCCATCAATAAAACTCATCGCGCAAAACTAATGATACAATTTTTAGGCTTCATAGTATGGCACACTAATCGATCGTCTTCAAGTTAATGGAGTGTCTACCATAGGAGGCGAAATTAGCACGATTATGTAGAAAACGATTGAGAAACGGAGATTTAACAAATTGAGTCATGTAAACGACGTGAATGACTAAAGAGATATACTCATAATTGCAGAAATTTGCTACATTCCSGGCATATTATTCCACAATCTGTTGCACAACTCTGCACCTCTAGCGCCTCACGTTTACCAGCGTTGACAGCTTTGGAGTCATACACGGGATGTTGCTCCATTTCATTCCGTTATCTTCGCTTGAACTCAAATTGACTCATTTGATTATATTWTACAAAGCATTTTCTTGTTGGTTTTTAATTCTGTTTACTATACGTCTGTATTTTTAATTTCTCTTCTTCTACCRTGGCCGAGAGCCCATTTCGCCGGCCGGTCACAACGCCATCGAGTTAGTTTAGCAATATTTAACCAATAAATGCACATGTGTGTCTGTCTGGAAATATGACAGCTTGGAGAAAGACTGTGCACACTCTATTTGCTGATTTGATATTGTCAAAACCCACAGATGTTGACAATGAGCTATAACAGGGTGAATAACAGGTAAACCGGGCATCTGYRCAAACACCTACAGGTATGTACGTGGTGAGGTGCTTCAAAAAGGCAGTGTTGGGAGCACAAGTCCGTGATTTTGCCATYTAAACCCGATACATAAATACATATTTCGATGACTTCAATGTCTTTAAATGATACTGCTATGCGACTACTGCGCATATTAACGATTAAATTTAAAATCTTAAACCTCTTAGATGTTTTTTAAGGGACCTTACCGGTTCTTTAAGAAATAACTAAGAGCGGAACAAGTGGGATATGCCCCCGAATTCACCTGGTAAGTATTTTCTGTACTCATACCATCTGAGGCTTATCTTTTAAATGAATATCAACTGACGCACCCATTCATATAGTGGATTTTCAYAACTGTTATTGGTTCTAAACGAAAGAATGCTCGCATTTGTAGTAAACGGTACCTACATACATATGTTTAATACGCACTGAAGCTATAAATACCGTAATTAATATCAAATGTATGTTCTTCTCACGCAAGTTATYAGTGTCTTTTTATGGAGTAGGAATAAGAAAAAAGAAAGGACACACAACCAACTCATACAACTTTACTCGCTCGCATGTAACCGTCCTTCGATTACGAAAATAAGTTCAAGTAGTCTGAAAGAATAAAATAGTAACAAAATGACAGCTAACAACAACAGTGTTGGAAGAATAGAGATACGCGTATGGCACGAAGAAGYAAATAGTGGAATATGATGAATTATTCAAAAGCATTAACAGGTGGGAAGTAACTTCGGTAGGTATTTTTATAGGTATGTAAAGAAATACTTAATTACAAAACAAACAGGTTAGAGRGTGAAATAGATGAATATACGTCAAACAGAAAAATAGCTCGGCTTTGATGTACTCTATAATGACTCATTTGGGCAGATCCTGTCGGTCCAAACTCATAACAAATAATTTCAGCGTCTGATCCAAAACTTTTAAGCCCACAGTAGAGGGTATGGAAAAATAAATGGTGTTATTATCGCCGCAAATAACTCAACATATGTCTAACTCAAATTTTTGCAGTTTCACCARCCATAACAATTTATAAGAGTACATGAGTCATAGAGCTTTCTCAGAAGATGCGTTTTTATTTACTCGCTGTTCTCATAGCGGCAAGATTGCCAAAATGTATGGGAACGAAAGTCGTAAGTGTTACGAGTGCTAGAGCAACAAAGAGAAATGCGGAGCGTCCAAACAACTTTTTTTATTTTACTTGTTGCTATCTTCCATTTCTACGCCTGATTCATTTTTAAAGATTGCATAAATCTAGTACTACGTACAAACATTTTTAGGCTACTCTCATCGGGTTCGTGAAGGTAGGACACAATGTTGATAAGAAGCTTAAAGAAGAAAAATTACATTATTGCTTTTTTGTAAAATCATTTTTTCATTCATTTCATCAACTCACTTCATGATACGAGTATTTGTCAACTTCTTTCAAATTGTCGTTTTTAGACAGTTTGCTAACTTACTGAAGTAAAAGCGACGCAAACATKTCTAACAACAACACTCATAATAAATTGTAATTAATTAGCACTGTCATTTGACACCTTCACATCCTTGGCTGTCACACAATTTAAGTCGCGGGGTTGTGAAATTCACAGAAGCCGGCGCGAAGTGTTGCCAACAAATTGAGAGAATTCACGTTGAGAATAAAGTGAACATATCAACGTACATCGGGCCACAAAAATAGCATACAATTGCCCGTTCTTAATTTCCAGGTGATGCAGGCCAAGTCATACTAAACTCACCAAACGTGGCAGGAAAGTAAAAAAACATTGAATGTGTTGGGGAAAATATGTGCAAAGCGGCGAAAAGAACCATTTTACCAGAGGCAATATAAGAAACCCCAACAAAACTAAAACAATCCAAGGTATAAAGGCACACAAACCCAAGAGTTTGCCGCACAAAAAAACGCGACAAAAAGAATCAAATAAAACCAAAAGGCACAAATGGAAGATAACAATGAAAGCATTAAAAAATCAAGCACAACTGCAGGAAGCCAACCGTTAACCACCATTCCCAGCATTAGCATATCACTCAGCACCTGGCGGTGGGGCAGGCTGCTCATCTCACCAATGCCATTCATAACCACAACTCAACGACACCACAGCTTGACACAATTTACGCATTTTGTCATTAAACACTTGAAGGCGAGCGCAGCTAAGCGTCATGAAACCCAGCACCCACGCYCAGCACCCAGCGTTTRAGCCTCTAGTCCCCGTTGCGAACAATGGACCCAGTTCACTGTCACAAACAACATGCGGGTGGACTTTCATTCATGCAAATGCCAACCCGAGCAGCGAAGGACGAAGACACGAGCACACTCACACCAGAGTACTTTCAGTTGTTGACTAGAGAGCAGTCGATGAGAGATCTGAGGGAAGAGTGAGGCATCTTATGCTTGAGAGTGTAAGTTCAGTTGGTAAATCTCGAACAAGGACTAATGCCTTTGTACGTACCAACTAAATAAACTATAAAAAGCTATGTATGACATGAGAAAAATGCGACGTATGAAACAATTAGTATATTTATCAAKAGATGGACTCATTCAGCATGCTTGATGATCTTGAAGCCGGTTCCAATTTTAAACTTATTTAATGCGGTCATGGGAGCTRGCTCTATGCCATTATGCCAAACATCAAAAGCTCTGTCAAGAGGAAGAGGAAGACCTCTACTCAGTAAGAGAAATCAGATGGAGAAGGACCTGAATGCATTTTAAACAAAACGAAAAGATGAAAAGACTGAAGCGCTGTTGTTAAGTCGGCTATAGAAGCGAAATCGGAGTCTTCGCCAGAAGAATAATTGATGTTCAAATAAGTATAAATATTAGAAAACAGGCAGTGAAAGTGTATAGAGAGAACAAGAATACGATACATTACTGACAACTAGGATTCGACCAAATAAAACTTAAATTTAAAGAGATAATGAATTCGCAAAAGTAATCCAATATTTGAGTAAGTTATTGAATTAAGTTAAGAGAGTTGAGGACCGCACCGATATTAATAATTCGTTTCGCACAGTGCTGCTCGTCAMCGAMTTTGCAATGGCTCTGCTATGATTATTATGCATAACCCACAGATACATAGATAACGTAAATAGGTGCCAGTGTAGTCGTGCGGTAAACATTCTCGTGTTRGGTAAGTAAAGTCTAACACATTGTTTGCCGCATTGACCCTCAGGCTGCACCGCGACGAGTGCGCTCTGGCAGCCAGCCAAAATTACACGCGTTCATAACACTCACAGCTCTTTTCTATTTATACTTTCAGTCAAGATTTGATGGTTGGCCGAACTGAGGAGAAGAAAGAGTAGCAGCGGAAGAAAAACCATAATACCCCTCTATATAGATATATAGTATATATATGTGCGGAATTACGCGATTATGTACATATATCACGTTCCAATGCGAAAAACACATAAGAATTGAAACCTACATAGACATGACCGAAGGAAAATCAATGAACCTGATTATACTATAGGAAATTTGTTAAAAACTATGCAACAAATAAAGTGGAAAATTGTTTAGATGCATGTGTTTTCTAGATATAAGCGTCACCCACTATTTTAAAACTTCTTTGTACGGTCCCTTGGATCCTGACATTTTCTACCGAAAGAAGCTGTGTAAACGAATTGTACATTTGTCAAGAGGTGGACTGATCAAGATACAAAAAAAATGAAAAGATAAAAGACCTTCAGGCACATAAGGTTTGTTAGTTAGCGAGTTTTCACCTGATTTTATACATTCTAAGCACAAATATGCACCTTTATATGCAAAACAGACAGTCAGACATACTACTACTTGGAAAGGATTTTCTTTTTATTTCAATTATAGATCGGACACATTGCCCAATATTTTCCGTAAAAAGTCAACTGTAGATAGTGGGGTCTAWATATTCGGTACCTAAGAGCTTGAACAGTTTTTTTCGTGCAAAGTTGCATCCCATTAATTTCTTCTTGATTCGTACACTCGAAAGGAAGTATTAAAATTGTGTTACGTGGGAAGAAGGMAATGTGAGAAGAAATTCGCATACTAAATTTAGTAGAAATTGATCGGTCGGGTCCCGAGACTTGTGCTTTTACCTAAAAGTAGGCAGTGCCACCACCATCGTCCAATTTTGCCTTTGCCATACTTAGTTATTGATTTATCGCGTTTTTAGTAGTTTTTAACAGTACCGTTATATGGAGAGTGAGTGGGGTTATCATCCATTTTCAAACTCTCGGTAGGAGCTTTCATAATCTTTGCGCTAGGAGAATTTGGTTAGTCGTTTAGTTTTAGGTGATACATACAACCATTAGGTGAACAAAACTATTAAGCCAGCTGAAATGTCTTACGTTGAAAACAGCTTTGATTGGATACTGAAGAAAATACTCCCAAAACGTAAGAGCAGATTCCCGTACACAATGGAAACAAGAAAGCTATATTGATACTTTAGATTGGACAACACTGTCACCAGACTGCTACCCAATAGAGAAAGTTTGGGCTTTAAATTCAACAAAAGAGATCTACTGCTCTCTGCTACTGCAACATACCTGAAGGTCCCCTCATGTTGAAGATGTCAGACTACAAAAGACAACGCTGAAGATTGGAGCAAGTCCTGAATAAACGTCAGCCATAACAAAACAATATATTTTCTATAATTAAAACATTTATTTTTTTGAGCGTATTGTAAGAGGACTTCGCAGTAAGGAAAATTTGATGGCAAACGATTGTAATTGGAAGCCACCACAATGAACCGCACTTAGTAGAAGGAATAGCAAAAACCAAACCAGCAACAAATTGTAGCTGCATGTGGCATGCAACAGGCGAATGACAACAAAGTGGGTAAAACCGCACTGAGAATATGCCAACGCCACCTGAAAAACTATTCAAACAAAAGATACAGATGGAATCCAAGAAGTTGAGGCGGGTGAATGAAATATTTCGGCAACATTTCCCAAAATTTGAAAAACGGTGTGAAGTCAAGAGGGAATCCGGGGTTGCATTGCAACTGAATAAAGAAAAGCCGCATTCGAAAACTTTTGCGAACAGCTTGAGGCAGCAAACGGTAAATGTGCACATTTGCTTCCTCACCAGTGTCTTGTTGCATTTTAACAATTTTGGGCGCCTAAAAATCGGAAAGAGCGATTCAATAAAAGTTGGGAAAATTGCTATTAAATTATGCAAATAGTTTGCCGAAAATAGACTGCCTTCAATCACTGATGATTTCAATAAATGAATGAAGCATGCTTGCTATCATTGTTGTAGCGGGGGAAGCATGACAGCTGGCTGATTTCACACATCGTTTCGAATTATCTTCTAATTCTCCGGTTCTTTTGAAATTCCTTAGCACTCGCAACACAACGGAATTTCCAATTCACACATCACTTTTCGCCGTAGGTTCGTGCAACATGCGGCATGGCGTGTTAGGTCAACTGAAATATGTGTATGCTCGCCTAGCGCACGGAAATAGAATGCTGCATGTGTACTTTTCTTTCACAATTTCAATTATCCAACGCTCTTACGCGAGGGTGTGTGCGCATGTGTGCAACTAAATATGAAAACAAGTAGCAAGTTGAGTAACTCTTAAATGGGCCATAATGAWTATTAAATAATGTTATGTGAAATATTCTGTAATAACAATGTGTGCACATATACGGCAGCGAGGCACATACGCCCTCTAGATCATATAATATAATATAACGGCCATTCCGGTCGGCAGCAATTTCGAATTGCTATTTGGGGCATTCTAGTGACGTCTGCCGTTTAATAATAAATGAAAGACATGCGTAAACGATAAAAATGTAACCGTTGATGCTGTGGAGCTTTCCTTATAAATATCTTAGTCACATATTTAGTTCGAGATAGACTAGCAGAGCTTTGTTGACATTACCCTTTTGCATGATGGAACATTAAGTTTCATATAAAAACTTCTTAAAGACTCAAACCAGATTTRTTACAATTTTTATCAGGGATAACATTAACTCTGCAGCCCGAACACGCACGCACCAATTCTGAAGTAACCATTGCTAAAAACCCCCAAAAAAATCTGTCCTCTCTGTATAAGAATGAACCTACATTCTAGCCCATTTAGGAAAAATGCTTTGAAATATCGGTTTGAACTGAAAAATAAGTGAACCAGTGCATAGCATCCGCATCCTCCTCTATGAAAGAATACCAAATGGTATTGGCAAACATATTGACCAGTTTTGGTTTTGATTGCGTGCGAAAAAATTACTTGTAAATCTTCAAATACCGTTCTGAAACTAACATATGTTGTGTTCTTATTGGACACCTAATGAGTACTAGTAGAAAACACCCAGCAAGTCACAAATATCGTATAAAAAAGGATGAAAGATCATACCCACACAAGAGACTTGGTTGAACTATGTTGATCCAACCTTAAAACCCTCAAGGAAGCTGGAACAAAAATCTCTGATACCGCTCTCGGGTAATTAACCTGTAACCTAACTGGTAGTGAGCTTGTACGCGCTTTTTCTCTCCATTTTGGATGACAATACTTTAATTGGATCACCCTATTTTCGAACAGTATGAAAGCCTTAAAACCTAATATTTGGTCATGTTAATACAAGAGAATAATATTACATAAGATATAAAAAAGTTAAATAGCATTGAATATGAAATATGCAAGGAAAATTTAGTTGAGTGTGTAGTCTAAAAAGTAATCTAAGCACTCAGTTAGTAACTAAAAAAAAAGATATTATTACACATAATTCAATTAAATTTTATGACTCAAGATGTTATATTTCATATTGGCATTTTTTGTTTGTCCTACCTCACTTCCGGTCGGTATTAAAACCGATTTCACTTTAAATTAGCCGAACGCACACGYTTCAAACAAGCACATACATTTTTCTTAAAAAATATTGAAACCACATTGGGCAAACTAATTGTCGAAGAGAGCAGGAATGTTCAACTGACCACGTACAAAAGACGATTGCATAAGCAGGGTCATATGATCATCATATGATAATGATAAATTTTGATTACTTAGTTGTTTAGAGGGGCCACTCACCTGCTAGAAGGACACTATTGTTATTCTTATTGTCTTGATCAACTGGAATGGAGGAGACGCGTTCGGCGCGCAGACACGCCACCGTGGTGCCCGGTCGACCGTTCTTGCCACTCGCCGTCAGTTCGACCGTCATGTCCATGGACTTTTGCAGCACCGCATCCATGCGTATAATCCCCTCGGCAAGGGTTTTGTAGCCCAAGATGGTGCGTGATTTGTATTTCTTGCGTCGTTGCAACAATATAACCAGTCTATGTGCATTTGAGCGTGAGAAGGGAGAAAAGGGTAAATTGTARCCAATGCGATTGCTATTGTTGTTGTTGTTTTCAATAATTTCAGTACAAAAATTTGTAGTTGGAGGGTTGCGACAATGACACATGAATTACAAACATGCAAAGCATTTTAATATTCATTAATTTCAATTAACGGAATGAGCAATGTGGCGTTAGTAATTGTTTGGTTTGCGGAGTTTTACGATACATTAATAAGTCAAACATACATTCGTGTTAATTGGCAAACATTATATAAAAATTTTATTTCATCACAGCGAATTTCGGCATTAATATTGTTATTGATTGTTATTGTTGTTGGCCGTAGAGTAGTGTAGTGGTAATAGTGTAGGAGTTTTGTAAACATTCAAGGACAGTTTCAGTTTGCCAGAGTTGAAGTAATTGTATTGCAAGCATTGAAAAGAAATGATGAAAGTAAGAGTGTTAACTTGTGGATTACATCGCAAACAAATTGTAGGCAATGCAAGATTAATTAAGCAAATTTTCAGAGTTTAAAGTTTTTAATATAAAAACATAATATAAAAAAAGTATTATTAAGTTTCATATAAATTAATGAAATACTGTAAAATTGCTTCACTAAACACCAACTGGCTTCATATCATAGCTGCATGCAGTAAATCTTAACAAATCTACGAACTCAAAGGCATACAATTACACTTAAGATGTTGCATAACAATTATGGGTACCCACCTATTGCCGTCGCGCTTAATAAAATGCGGATACTGCAAGCTGAAGTGTAGATCTAGTTCAGTCTCTGCCAGTGGCATCGTAGTAGCGCCGCCTCCGACAGCGGCGAAACCGCCCATCGTCAGGGACGCACCGCTGCCGCTTCCGCCAATGCCAATGCCCGTGTTCCCAATATTTCCGGGTGTGCCAATTATGGCCGAACCCATTTGTGCGCTGCCACTGCTGCCGCCGATAAGCGCAGCTCCGGAGTTGCTTTGCTGTATAAYGTTGCCAGCAGCGCCGCCTCCACCGCTGTTGGGGGCAGTCGAGCCGGTTACTGCCCCACCGGAAGCGCCACTTTGCGTAAAACCACTGCTGTTTATGGGTATCTCGTGGGAGCGTAGCGTGCGTTTGGAGCTCTGCATCTTGACAGCCAACGTTAGTGACGTCATATCACCAGGCAATGGTGTCAGTATGGATAGGCGCGTTATTGTCAACGAGCACAGTCTGTAAAGTGAAGAAAATAAGGAAAATGTGAACAAAGAAATATGTATACATACAAAGGAATTATTGTTTTAATTTCACTTTATTTGCTGGTGATAAGCCTTAGAGATATTATATGGTTCATAAATGTACGACTATGTGTGGAATCTGTGGGAATTCAAGAGTCACACAGCTGTCGTGTATCCACTGGGGTGAAGGTTTTACAACAAAGTGCATCTAGGGTAGCACAAGTAACGATAACTAAGAGCAAAGCAGTTTCACTCCGGTTCTCAATTTTCATACGCACATACAGATGCTTCTACACACAGCTTATCAGTTACTGACTATAACAAATAATATAAAGATTACATCAAAGGCATCAGCGGCAAATGCTGTAAGGAACGAAAATATATTGGAGAGATGTAGCGTGAACCGAGAATACAAATATGTACGCATATGAAATAAAACCCCGAAGTACCCTTGTTCACCCGCAAGACAGAGCCAGCCCCATTTTRTACTAGAGCTCGTAAGCTATTACGTTTTCACAACTGTGTCTATGAGAAGAATTTTCTGAYAAGCCAAATAATGGTATCACCTCGTACGCATGGTAAGGGCACATGCGGATAATGCGYTTGTTGTACTCTATTTGTTGCACAAATCGCGGTAAAATTTTAGTGTAGCAAGCAACAACAACTGTGAGGCCACAACAGAATTGAATTGGTATTGTGTTCCATTTACAAATCCTTCATTTCATTAACTTCAATAACGGTTCAATTGAAAATGAAATAAGTAAGGGCGTGTATTTTTTATTCACTTACAAGRCTAAGAGACACTGGCGAAGTAAAGAAAGGAAGTCAGACCACATCTGGTTGACAAGTGCATGTACTGCATTGAATCACAGTCCAATCATAGCAGGATTATACGGATTCATTTAATCCGAAGAGGAGATAACCACACTGACCAGCTAAGAATCCCCTGAGGGTCTGACAACAGCGTATATTGAGATGCTCACTGAAATAAGGCTTCCTTCTAATCCTCTTTCAATAGGATCAATATTGAAGGTACATATGTGTGTGTATAGTATATGTGTACAAACAAGCATAGGCAAATAAAATGTTTTATTCTTTGTGTTTTGCTGGAAAAGGGGCAATTCTATGTTGCAGAAATTCCCAGAGAAACTCAACATTTTGATTTCGATGTAATATGTAATGTTACAAACAAATGTACTTATTAACTGCATATATGTGCCGAGTAAGTGAGACAGCAAATCATACCACTTTATAATTAAACAATTCAGTTAAAGTACGTAATATTTTGAGTTTCTCTTGAAAATTAAAACTTTGGATGTTATATTCTGAAAATATTGTGGGGATAGCGTCGATCGTCTTCCAAAAAAGGGAGTACGATAAAACACCCAAGTTAGCACATTTCAAAGCGTTTTACCCAGCCATATTTTGTTAACACTCGTTTACGACGTAGAAACAATTTTAGTAGAGTATTGCAACAGCATTTTCTAATTATTTTTAATTACTCACGTGTGTATAAATTTTGACATGCCATATTCAATAGCTTTAACACGAAAATCCCCAGTATCATCAGTATCATTGCCATTCTAATGTTTATTGTGGGCCGCTCTGTTTAGCGTCATCCGTGGGCTTAGCAGGTCCTTTTTAATTAATTGCCTTAACAAATTACCCCAGGGAAAAGAACCCTTTCTCAAAAATACAAACAATGTGGCGCTCAGAATGATGACAAGGGAGAAATTTTTTTCAATATTTCCCCAACTTCCTTGCGACTCTACTCTCAACCACTTTACATCGGCACAAATATCATACGAATATGCATTTGCACTCACAATCGTCTCCGATCGTTAGAACATTATGAGTCTTAATTGGGGCAAATGCAATTACTCGCTGAATTCACACTTTGCTGTGGAATTTGAAATTAGTGAGATTGGCGCAATTAGCGCGTGGTTGTGAAGCGAAAAAAGTGTGAATGCGAATTTATGTACATGTGATGATTGCAACAAGATGGCATAAACTACTTTGGTAGCAAAATGTATTTATAGTATCACTAAGCGGCAGCGAACACCTTAAAGATAGCAGTTGTGAAGAATATGATTCAGCAATGACAATGACTTGTAGGCCTCGATGCCAAGCGTAAAGTGCTAATTATTTAATGTATATATGTATTTGCATGTACAATACCGCATTTACTTCAAGCGCTATCAAGAGGCATATACAGAGAATCGTAGAATGATGATTTCTCGTAAGAAATATAAGATTCCACGACCTATAGTATAAATATAGTCGATAGGTTAGAAGTCATATAACAAACAGGCTCATTTCCACCGGTTTCCTTCAAAAGTACTGAGAGTATGATAACATCCTAATTACTATGCTACGTTAAACCCAGTGCAGCGATGATTTGCTGAACATATCACCTAGCTTGCATGCTTTAAAGATTAGGAAAGCGAGAGAAAACCACGTCCAAATGCCATAAAAGCCATTTTTAAACAGTTTAAGGGGCTTTACTACTGTGACGCATGAAAACTTAAATTATCAAAATGGCGTAAATTTGAAAAAAAAAATCGGTTTTTAATGCGAAATTTTCAATCAAACAAAAAGATCGTAGTTCATTGTATAGTAAATGTGTGCAAAAATACTCAATTTTAATTTGAAGTCGATCGGTCAATTTCTGGTTGAGTTATGATGGCAGCATTTTTGAAAAATGTCGTTTCGAGGAAAAAGCGTTTAAAGTTTCACATATATATGTATGTATGTTTGCTCCTCCGAGCGGTCGCTCTTTAGCACGCTGCCATCCGAAAACTATTCAAGATACGACCTTCCCGATTACACAGGATATTTACGGAAATATATTCTATCGAAAAAGCAAATTAAAAGAAACATTTTTTCTTGAAAGTGTCACACTAGTATAGACCCTTAAAGATAAATGGGAAGTCGGAAATCACTATATAGGGTAACTTTAGGCATTATTACTAAGGTCTGGTTGAGAATATACTTTTGAGCAATTTCATTGTATTATTATACATACTTGACACAAAGTTTAACAGAATAAAAAATATTATATTTTCAGTTAATTTTGCTAATGTTCATTTAGGGTATAACGCCAACCGGAAGTTTGAAAATTGTATATTTGAAAAATTGAATCGAAAGTTCACGTATATACTTATGTATGCACATTTAGCTATCATAATCGTTTTGCTTGCGATTATAGCTGTTGTAAGGTTTGTCGTGCAAAGTTTTTTATCAAGCTTGACTATCTAAATGCCGGGGGGATTTTCCATTAAGAGGACGATAAATAAGCCATATACAAATATGTATATGTATGTATAAAACATGTGAAAGACCCTCCAACTAATGATGTAGTGCGGTGAGGGGCGTTMGGGGCAAAACGACCAAACGATTACTGGAATTTACCAAACATATATTTATATGTAAATACATACATACAAAACAGTACTTAATAGAAATATTTGTATGAACAAGTGTTCGGAGGGTTATCATTGGTTCAACGCGCTTTACACTTCACTAGCTCTGTAGCTAACTTACAGACTGACTGGCCTAGTGCTTTTAGTAAGTGAGTAAATGGCAGCATGTGAAAAACAGAGTGACCAAGTTATTCACTGTCCACGCATTGTCACASGAATAAAATTATTCAATTACTACATTTGTGCAACTTATAAAACACAAACACTGATTTGCGCTTTCAACTGTTAATGGAATACGGTGTTCGAGGCGCTCTTTTTTTGTAACATTATATTGCCTCACTAGCTATCACTAAGGATTTGTACGCTAAGATGAGCTGAAAGGATTTGCAACCGGAGTAGAGAAGAGCCGTTAAGATTTTAGGCTTAATTATATCGTATTTGTAAGTGATCTCCTACCCCGCACTCCTTTACTTAGAGAATTTTTGGTACGAGAATTTTTGGCACAGCATTTGTCTCAACTTGAGATATCAAATTACAAAACTCAATTATCATATTTATAAGGGAAACGGACAATTTTTTATTATTAGTAGACGTGCCAGTCCAAAACTGAAAACTGAATTATATCTTTATGATCGTATATGTGTATGTTCATACACACCCATATGTGTGTAGTACAGCAGACTACACGGTACACACGTAGCGAGTCGAGTGAAAACAGTTTCGAAATGCGACGTGTAATTGGATTCGCTTTCAGGTAATTTTATTTTGTATTTTGTTTCGTCGAAATTATAAAGACATTAGACAAACTACATTTGTTAAAGGCACGTGCCAATAGAWAAGCAACAACTGTTCTCGGATAAATCCACAAAATATTATTTGTAGTTGACGGCAGCACTCGAGGCACGAAACCACAAACAAATGGAAACTCCTACTAAGCTAACTGCAAAATTGGTTTATTACTCACTTACACTTCTTTACCTTTCTATTTTCAAAATTATATACTTTTCGCTTCAAKGAACCAATCAGTCCAATGATTCAACCAATTTCGACAAATGACTTTCGAGTCGGGCAAAGCTAAGAGTTTCGATGACAAAGCGGGCATTTACCGGCTTTCGGATGAGTGCCATATGTGCTCCCAAACGAAGACTTGAAAAAACTTCCGGATCACTAAAAATAATTTTTTTGAATATATCCCCCATCCTCTACATTCATGCATACGCCAAACACCCGGACATATACATGTGCATGTAGGTGAGCATGTTTGTGTGTACCGATTAATAATTTCCTTTAATTTCTTTGTGTACACTTGATGATACATACATCAGCATGGCGCTGTGAATTTATGGAGTTCGTTGAACGGTCGGCTCTTTGTACACAAGTGTCGGACTGTCAGACAACCAGACTGTTGACTGTTTATTGTGTACGACCATACGAATAGGTATACCGTTGATAAGCGATTCAACTTGACAGCTAAGACCCCAACATCTCGCACCATGACCAACGAAAGCTCGCAGAGGAGAAAGCGGAATCGAACAAAGCAAAGTTCCGGTTAAGATGCGCGACGCAATGCGAT